ACCAGGGCAGAGCTGCAATCCGCTCCTGCATGCCCCCGTTCATGGAACCTACTCTTCCCTGGCCCTGGCCATCACCAGTCCAAGGTCCTGGGGTCCCCCTGGCCTCACCCACCCATCTTGCTCCCAGCTGTAGCCCCAACCCAGCCACCCAGCTGTGCGCCCTGACTGCATGGGTCCTGGCCCCAGCAGTGGGTATGGGGCAGACGGGCAGCGAGACTGGGTCTGGTGTCAGCAGCCAAGATGTGCTGCCATCACAGGGGCTACTGGGACATGTAGTCCACCATGACCCAGATCCAGCCCACAGGCTGAACTTTGCCCACCCCTGCTCTAAGTACTACAGTACTAGACTCACCTCTGAGGTGACACCTGAGTGCTCTAGCATGGGCTTGATGGATCACCTTTGATTTAAACCAGTGTGGGTGGGAGAAGAACTGGGCCCTGTATCTCCAGCCTGGCTGGAATGGAAACCTCTTGAGGAAGGATGCTTCCAGTCTTATTTGTGGACCAAGGTGGTTTAGATGCAGCTTTCTGGACGCATCTACAAACTGAACACTTTGTAGGTCACCCATCATTGGCAACAGATATTTTTCAGATTCCCATGCTTGTCTTGTGGAAAGTGTCTGGCACTGGTGCAGGTTCAGCCCCCACTGCAACAAAAAAAATTGCTTCCAAAGTGTTTAGCTCCCTTCCAGCCCCCCCATCTCCTCAATCGTTTCCATCCTGCAGGCCATCAGCAGCCAAAAATCTCCCGGCTGCAAAAGTCAGACATGACAGGTCCCATTTACCCACCACATTGTACTAGGAAATCAAACAAACCATCCCCAGTGCCCCCATCCAATGAGACGTAGCAACAAGGTCTGTTTGCAAAATGCACCAGAGTACCAGAGTGTCTCTGCTGCAGCTCCCCAAACAGCTGCGCAGTGAACAAATATGCCTTCCATGGAGGGCTTTTAAAATGGTGTTTTTTCCCCAACCCCTTCTCCCCTCTGCAACCCACAGGCTGTCCTGCCCCAGATGTTTTTTGAATCTCAAGACAGCCCCATTTCCTTGGTGGCTGCTCTAATGCTTGGCTAATGGTGCATCATCTGCAGCGTTGTTCAGACATATTCAATAAATCAGAATCCAATTACCGGGGTAAGGAAATTGGAAACAAATGTAATTAGTTTTGGCCCCTCCCATGAGCTGTGCCCTTGCTTCTTCCTTAATAAGGATGTTCCCTTTTAAAAGCACTCAGCACAGTGGGATGCACCCAGGAACAAGGTGCTGCCAGGTCATTTCATCCTGACCACAACCGGGGATAGAGGAAGGGTCCATTTAGCTTGATTTTGCTTTTTTATTAGAGCAGATGGTTAATATCTCATGCATTCATTCTCCCTAAGAATAGCATGCTCACACTCTCCTCAGCTATAACAGGCGTCCATCAGGGCTGGCAACTCCCCTCCGGTGGAAAGAGCATCTGGCCTCACTAGGCAAAAGGAGTGAAAAATCACAGACAGCAACTGTGCAGAAGAACCGGTGTGATTCTAGCACCAGAGCTGGGTTTGAGCCTACCAATAGAATCTGAATATGGGAACTTAATGGAGCTGGGGCAGATCCCTCCTCTACCTCTCTGAATTTTAAATTCAGGCCTGGCTTCAGACCAAAGTCTCTACTCCAAGCTCATCTATTTCTGCTGATAAAGTGGAGGATTCTGTCAAGCTCTGAGCTCCATTAGGAGCTGAAGGTTGCACCATGTCCTTGGAAAGCAAGTAAAGCCCCATTATAATTCAAACCAAATGAATCGAGGCAAGAGAAGAAGGAAGGGGGAACGCAAGGGAAAGAGTTATTGCTCATCTCTGCAAAGACATGGTTAGGATTTCTCCAGCCTCCCAAGGCAGGCCAGGCCCCTGCCCCTCCAGGGCCTGAGAAGATGATGCCCAAGAAAAGGTGCAGAATCTGTACTGTGCTGCCAAACTGACAAGCAGCAGCTGCTTGTTCCAGTGCTACAGAAACCCTTTAAGTCACACACTGCACTACATGCCATTAGCTTCCCTCCTCAGCATGAAACAACACAGAGCTGGGATCAAGGGGGATCCTTACTTCTAATTCTGGCTCCTCTTCTCACCAGCCAAGCAGGCCTGGGCAAGTCAGCCAGTCTCGCTGCACTTATATTTCCCCAGATGTGAGTCACATACAAAGCAGGGGTGTTGAGTTAATTAGCAAATGTTTGTCTAGTGCACTGAAAGGAAAGGCAGAATCTGAAATAACTGTCCTTTCAGGGGGTGACTGTCCCCTGCATCCACATGTAGGGTGGGGTTGCCTCAGTCCCATGTCTCAGCCTCCCATGGGGAAAAATGGGAGAGTGAAGGTCTCTGTGGGCCTGTGGGGAGGGAGGGGGCAATCATCACCCTCCATCACTAGACTGGGGTTCAGGGAAAAAACAGATTAGAGTTAGTAGTGGTGAGGATGTTTCAGGACTGCTGCTGGATGAGACAGCCCTAATGCACCTCTTTTGGAAGGACACCAGGAGGAAGCTCGTGTAGGTCATGGAGCCTTGTGCATGTTCCCAGCCTCCCTCTTGAGCACATGGCACACATTGTTGGTTCCCAGGACACAAGCTTGACTCCATGGGTTATTCTTCAAGGTAAAAGTGCCACCCCTTCTACCTGCAGTCGGAAAAAGCATTGCAAGACCCTCAGTATGATTTCCTACCATGACTGTTCCTACAGGAGGAAGCAATAGAGTCCATTATTGCTACATGAAGCTCACTGAAATGACAAAAGCCAGCCATAACATACACACAGGACATAGGGCAGCATTTCCCTCCCTACAGAGGGAAATACAGACTGAAGTGAAGTGAATTTATTGTACAGGAATGTGCCAGAAACCTTTGCCTAGATACAGTTGAGGTTGCCCATCTAGCCTCTCATCATCTCTCAGTGCTGACAGCACTCAGCTGCTGCCTGTCAGCTTCCTACAACTACCATTAGGGGAATCTATCACCCACAAGTAAAACTTCTCCATAATTATGAAAGAAGATTTCCCAAATGGCACAGATCCACCTGAAGCTTAAGAGGCCCTCCAGAGCACACAGCAAATTTTTGTGATGCTCTGATTCAATGTTCTCCTTGGGCTGATGGAAAACTAGCCCAATAAATTCTTAAATTCCCCTGTCTCATTCCTCCATTTTCACCATTTCCCAAGTGATTCAAGTAAACAGGGAGCAATTCTGCTGTGCTTGTCGCCATATTTTTGTGTTTCAGCACAAGATTTCTGAGAACTGGAGGAGACCATGTCCATTTTAGAGGCAGCATGTATTCTCTCCCTCTCTTTCTCTCTTCCTAATGTTCACACATGGTCCTGTTCTCTCAAAATTCTGCCTGCCTTGCAGGAAAGTAATATCACTTTTTTCCTCGAGGATCTCACAAGAATTCAATAGCATCCAGGCCAGGTGAAATTTTAAGTGACTAGGGTTTGAGTGCAATGCATGAGACTAGATAAACATAATTGGAAGGGTTGATCCCAATAAAAATAATCCCAGAAAAATTCAGATCCTCACTCTTCATATTTACAAATCTGTTGGAGAATATGGCATGCTAATTTCACATAAGCACTCAAGAAACCTAATGAAATGGGCACTGAATAAATTACGCCTAACAAGTAGGTTGTCTTTATATTAAATACAATGAAGGAAATCTCAAACATCAGAAAGCTAAAATAAAATCACAGTGTTGCCAGCTTTGATGCTGTTTTCCCTTCTCTTAAAGCCCCAAGTTCCTGGAGTTATGTGATTTGCAGTATGAGTGGACCCAGGATTGTGATGACATGGGTACAGCCACACCCTGTTCAGCTGTGTGCCATACACATAGTGAAGAGAGCCCATTATGCATGTGCCACACAGCCAAAAAGGGTCTGCCTGCAACCCTTTACTGTGATTCTAGATGCTAGTAAGCTCTCAGACCTCACCAATATGCCAGCAGAGCTCTTGCTGGGTGTGCAGGGGGTTCACCTGAAGTCTCTGCTTTCAAGCAGCTCCAGAGACTGCTTCTGTTCACTCTTCCTTGCCCTCCTCCTACACTTCCCCTCCACAAATTCAGGAGGAGAGGGGATAAGAAGCAATGGTATCAGAGCTGAATAAAACCAGGGGCTGCGCATCACCCCCTGGGCTCATAGCACACGTCAAACTCCCAGCAGAAGCTCCACTGACATGCTGACATGCTCTGACAACTCACTGTGTATGGAGCGCACAGGCACAAAAGGGTGCGACGGCACTGCTGTACCCGCTCTGGATCCATTCTTGATTGCAGAGAGAAATCTGAGAATGTGACCTAAATGCTCCCTGAATACTCAGCAACCAGATGGGGAATAAAAAACACCCCAAAATTAGTTGGGGGGGGGAGGGGTTGCTTGTTTTTTTCTAAATCTCATGATTTTGAGCAAAACTGATTTTTTTTAGGACCCGACTCCTGCTTTCTATGCATCTGTATTGGTGATGCAGAAATCATTAAAACCGCTCTATTTTAAATTTCAGTGCAATCGATCGACGTCATCGTCGGAAGTCCCTTGATACAAGGATGACAGAAATCTATAGGTAAAGCCAAACATGGCATTGCGATTATTTGCACAAGATAACTTGAATTGAAAATGACTAAACAGGAAGATAACTAACTAGTCCCATTTCACTGCCCAAGTGAAATGCAAAGTTACCAAATGGCATAGATGCTGTTTAAACTGCATAATAATGTAGGGTAGTATTAGGAAGGCATGCAAGGAAAATCTGCTTAAATCAGTGCAACTTTTATGTCACTGGGGCCTCTCAATATAAAGGTACCCTTGAGACAGGCTCCCAGTCCCAGCACAGTCTGCTGTAACCTTGGCCCACTCGCATCCTACTGGTGTAGGTTTCAAACTCACTGAAGCACACGCTCCAAGGAATGGCCAATTCATCCCTTTGCAACAAGGGCTGCCTCTGAAACATGACATGACCAGCAGAGGAGAAGGGATGGGGAGGAGGCAAGAACCTGTAATGTCTTGTGTCGCGGATGGCACGGTCACTGGGAATCCTCTCACTCTCTCGCTGGTTAAAGGCGTAGAGTCGGTATGGGTCCTCTCCACCCTTCCATTTCCGGGCACTCAGGTACCTTCTCTCTTCAAACTGATCCCAGAGGTCATCCCAGTCCACATCAGAACCCTGCACACACAAACAGTCAACCCTGTCAGAACAGAGGGGCTGGGGCAGGATAGAAGTTTCCCTTTAGTAATCAGCCATACCCATCAATGAAGCTGCATTTATTGCTTTCAGCTGAGGATCCAGCCCATGACAGGCCTGGTCCAACTCCCATTGTTGCTTACACCAAAGATCTTTACTGACTTTCATGGCAGCTGAGCTAGGCCTTCTGCTAGAAGTCAACAACATTAGAAAACTCTGTATTTTCCAACAAGGCACCCCACAGTTTCTTCAGTTTCCCTGATTTAAAAATGTCACATGAAGGGGGAACCTGCCAACTCAGACTGACAATGACTCATTTCAAACAAAGTTCAGAAGATTCCACTTTAAAATGGCATGCCCCAACTTTATCACGTTTTTATTTCATTCCTTATTTAAAATGTTTTATAACAGGCTTTTTCCTTCCCCTGCTGCTATTTAGAAGTCTCTCTTGGGTGGCACAATAGCATCTTCTTCTAATATGCTGGAATCAGCCCATCCCATTCTAGTTCTGTGACTATGTCTGCCTAGACCACTAACTTTGCTCCCATTCTTAGTAGAAGGCACCATCTTTCAGGGCCTAGGAAAAGGCATACAAGTCATATCATCATACCAATGCACAAAGCCCAAAATGCAGGTAGCCATCAGCAAAGCATAGAAAATCCCTGCACACAAAGCATTGCCCAACATCTGACGTACAGAAGATGGAAAACAGAGAAAGTAGGTTTCCCTTAAATTATTCACAATGGCATTCATTTTGGGGGATTCTGTGCCAAAAATGGGGTATACACTTCAGATGGAAAGATTATTTCCAGGCCAATGATATCTGTTTAAAAGGCATATCTTTATAACATAATTTTATTCCTATCCAGTAATTACAAGATTAACCACAACACCTCCATAGCAGCAAGCCCTTAGGTGAACCTGAGTGCTGACACATGGCAGTAAGCTCTCAGCTGAATCTGGCACTGGCTCACCACGAACCAAAGCATCTCCACCAGGCCTGGACAAGGCACTTGAGCTTGATTTGCACTTTAAGCACTTCTCGTCAGATGGCTTGGTACAACAACTGTGCTGATGCAGAGTGTGATGACTGGGTCACAATGCCTGCCTCCCTCACACCCCACAGTATGTTAGTCAAAGAGCAGCAAGGTATCCTGGGACATATCATCCTGACCACTTGCTCAGACCACAGTGCCATTTTAAAAGTAGGGAGAAGCCACAAGCTGCATTGCTCAAAAAGCATTAGAGGAGTCACAGGGCATCCTTTTGCTGAGCAGGACACAATGGCTATGTGCCAGCTCAGAGGAGACTAACACAATGTGTACCTGATAAGATCACATCATTACAGCAGCACAACCTCTTTGATCTCAGCCTATGCGTAATACGGAGAGATTCAAACATTTACAGACGCTTCAGCCCCAAAGAAAATTGTGATCTTATCCAATAATTGATCTACTTTTTTGTTAACTCCATCTCAAAGCTGCTTTCACCTGCTAATGGCACAAAATAAAGCTTTTGAAACAGGTGATTTTTATCCCATAATTGATTTTATTCACAACTGACAGCCCGTTTTCTGTATTAATAGGCAGGGGAGGGGGGAAGCAATGACTCCAGCAAATGAACTGCCTGTGCCCCATACAGCAGTTCTAGCAACGGGACCAGAATAGAATTCCCCTGTGATGTCCCTTCTCATGCTACAAAACAGTTTGCATGTGTATGAAGGAAACACTGGCCCCTTCTAAAACCTGGATGCAGCTCCCACTGAAGTTGGGGGTGGGGGAATAGACCTTCCATTGCTTACAATGCCAATTGGGAGTGGGACCATTTAAGCAGCAAGGCCTTTCACCAGAAGGTGACAGAAGCACATATAGGGAGAAGTTCAGAAGAAGTATGGCACTTCCTGGTGCTCAGAAAAGCAAGTCTCAAAGCCCTCAAGACTCTGTGCTTGTCCCCAAGGCTAGGGACAGAAATTACACATAAACTGGTATAAGTGATTAGAAACAGGTTCAAGTCTGTAACACAACAGCAGTTCACTGCACATAAACTGCTTTCAAAATGGCCAAAACCAATTTAAGATAAACCTGGATGGATATAGCACCAGACTTAACTGATTTAGGTTAAATTGGTTTACTGAGCTTCTGTCTCAAATCCCCTCCAGATTCAAATTAACTCACAGTCCCCCAGCATCCCACAATGCTTTGCATCTCCCCCACAAACTCTCCCTTGTAGTGTGGGCTGGCTAGCCTTGGCCCAAGCTGTCTGCTCCAGGGAGGCATGCTCTAGCACCCCTGGCTTCTGGCCTGGGCCACTGCAGGTATGTGGCTGGATTTCTGGAATCCAAAGTGTCTGTTCACTTGCCCATCAGTTCAATCTATGCAGCTTAGATGAACCTGTGAAGACTGACTCAATTCAGCCTTAGGTTTTTTGACTGTTTGTACTTAGCCCTAAGCATCTCATGGCTTTATTGAAGTTCCCCTCATCCTCTGCGATGACCATTCCCACAGTTCCTTTACCACTGCAGGTGCAGAAGGTGACATGCATCATCACATATAACAACACATATTTTTCTCCAGTTAAAAAGAAACTAGAAGCTTGACTAAAACTCCAGGGGCCTAGGGTTCTGTTACTCAGTTTAAGATTAAAGCAGAAACAAATAGAACATCATTGGAATAAATTAAAAACAATCTGCAGGGCTATGAAATAAGAGCTTCATTACCAGGGGCAGCTAACAGAAGTGCAGAACCAAGGATAGCAAGACTGGTGGAACATCATGGCCATTAAAAAGAAGAGAAGGTCATTAACACCCAAGAAATGAAGAGTTTAGAAGGAATCAGGTAGAGGTTGTTGAGCCATGAAGTCAAGTGACTCCTTTAGCACTGCATGAATGGAAATGCTGCTGCCACTGCCAGGCAATTGGTTTTAAACTCTGGGTGGAGTATGAACCAAGGGGGAGTGTGAGTACACCAGTGCACTCCACCCTCCCGGATCTGTCCCTGGAGCTTACGCTTACCCTGTTGTTCCTCACTGGAATGATTTCTGATCTACCCCAGTAAAATGGAGATGGGAAACTGTCCCAGGCAAGTACAGTCTTCAAGCACAGGGACATTCAGGTTCATGCTGAACTTATATCAACATGACTCCACCATCCTCCTTGGAGCTACTCCAAGATTTACCCAAATGTAAACAAAAGCAGAATCAAATGCCCACTTCCCTATGCATCTGTCAAGCACTAAGCTGTATAAATAATAATCAGCTGGTTTTGATCTGCTGTCTGCAGGGAAGTTTCATCCCTGCTGGAACTGCAGCTGAAACCAACTCCACCGATGGAGCTGCCACAGGTGCAAATATGGCCCATGGTGCCTTTCAGTTCCATCTGCTCGCTCTACTAACCAGAAGAAGCATTCCCTCTTTTAAACCTGCTGAGCCAAAGCAACAACAGGAGAGTGAGATGGATTCTATCCCAGCCCTGGTCTCCACTACCACACTGTCAGCCCCTCTCTGATTGCCGAATATTTATTACTAGCTGTGCTGCAAGAGGCAGGAAGACTGTGACTTTATTTTCATGCCCCAGGGTGAGTGTGCAGTTGCTGACAGATAGAAAAATTATCTTTTGACTTGGAGATGGAGTGCATTTGGCAGAGGAAATAAATATGGAGCTTTGCAATGTCTTTTTTTTTTTTTTTTTTTTTTTAAAAAA